GATTATTCATCTTTCACAACGCAGAAAAGGAGAATATGTTGTCATATACTACAACTAGACCTTTCAAAAGACCCTAAAGTTGGGAAGCATGACAATGAAAAGTCTGTTTAGATTCTGTCTATAGACCAAGAGCTCAGCGAGAGAATAAAATGCCACATCTACTTTTCATTCTGGAAAGCCTTCTGCTTTTCAGGCTAAAATATTACCAGTGCACTCAGAGAGTCATTCCCTAATAAATAAGGCAGTGCTCTCCATTAAGGCTTGTGACTCAGAGAAGCATATAATATTCTCTGGACATTACACACCATTATCCTGCACTGTTGCTCTGCTGCCACAACTATTGAGGTTTTCAATAAGCAGAAAAGGATGAACCCCAACCACTATATACTTCCCTCACCCTTTAAAGTAAGTAACGACCAGAGACACAAAATTAGTTTACATCCTTCAATTCAAATCTACCAGCTTGCAAATAATATGTAGCTCAGTTTTTTGTTTGTGTTTTTTTTTGCTTTTCCTTGTAGCTGTGTATAATGATGATTCAAACTGTGCACAGTTATCTTTCATTTGTTCTTCTTACTCAAATTTGACCTCAGAGCAATCTATATAATGTCAAATAAGTTATTGTAGCAGTGTTGCAGCAGAAATAAATATAATCCAATTTTGTTTTCTGCAATTCCCACCTAGAATAACACATGGGATAGTCCATCAATTGTTTAAAATTCAATCCAAATCTTGATGAGTGACATTACCCACAAAACATTTGCACCTCTACATTACTTTTCCCTGACCACAGAATAATATTGTATTCTATCCAGTATAGACCAGGGCATGTAGCCTTCTGTGCAGTACATAATGCATGAATGACCATTAAGATAAACAATGTGTGCCAAGCAACCCCAAAGGCAAACAATGGCTGAATCAACTGCATATAAAAAATAAATAAATAAAAAAAACGTAGAAAAGTAAATCTCCCCAGGATCATAGTATTCTGCCCTTTGAGGGTCACCGCTCTCATCCAACCTGTGATGACTGCAGTACGAGCAGCTCTATACAACTGAATACCAATTGCCTTTCACACATCATCCCAACCCCTTCAGCTTCTTTATAGCGTTCAAAACCAGATTCCCTGTGCACACTAAATTGGCTCCTGTAAGAAATGATCTAATACAGAAAGATGGGAAAGGTTTACAGCGAGTAATGGATTAGGAGTCAACCCCTGTGCATAATTACCACAGTCATCATGATAAGAGAAGTCCTCTCCACTTTGCACCACTATCTTTACGACCTCATTCTGGTCTGAGAGGGATGGTGACACTCATATGAACTCCATGCACAAAGACAAGGAGAAAAATGGAAGACATTATCTTGTGTTTGCCACATAAAAGCAACAGTAATGACATGCATTAAATTTAAAACACAGTTTGAGTGTCCTTTCAACTTTTAGTGAACCTGGCAATTTTCTATGAAACACGCCTTGATTAACTGTGATAGTCTCCTTTTGCAATCTATCATTGTCTGACACCAATCCAAAGATAGATGCCAAAGATCTGAGCTACTAGAGGGAATCAGGGAAATTGTTAGGTATGTATCAAATTCACAGAACAACACTGTATTGTCATTTGCATACTGAACATTTTACTACTATTATACAGCGAGAAAAATGCAACCCACACAAGAATATGGGCAGAAAGTCTTCCATACTCAGGCAATCAATACCTGGGACAGTGTTTACACCTAAAAGTCAATCTAGACAGTGTGCCGAGTAAGAACATTAGATTCACCATTGAGGGGCGTGTCAGTCATATTCCTCCCTGTCACTTTCATCCCTTAAAAACAGTTGGAAGAGGGTAACGGTGAGCATGAGTATGCGTCTAATGATATTTTATGCAGAGGGGTGGCAAACCAATACAGGCTCATTCTAAAGAGCAACCTCACCCCAGCCATCTGCTGGGGCTGGATGCTGCAGCCCAACCTACCTTGTCATGATAGGGTCATCCTGCCATCCACACCTGCAGTTTACCAATTGTCACCATAGCCCCTCCTGTCCCGCTCTCCCCAGGCCCTCACCCAGGTGACAGTTTGAGCACCTCCTGTCCAACCTCCAGCCAAACAGAATTAAGGAAGAATTAAAAACTTAATGAGCCTAATAATTAAACTTTAATGGAGGACATAAAGCAACTTGACACCCTCTAAAAGCTATAGGCAGCCACCATAATAGCTGTACCAAGCTGGCCTGTGTTCCCTGAAATTACAGACATTTCTCCTTTGCAACCCACATATTGCTGCTGTCATGGCAAAACATTGTTGCACAAATGTTCAATGTGCCTTTGGCTTATAAAATATATTCAAATATTATGATATAAATAAAAACAACATGTCAGCTGCAAATAGGCTAGAAACACTGCCGCTTTACTCACCTCATTTTGAAGTGAGCTACATGTAATGCAGTGTAGCTCATGGGCTCATGCACCATGATGCTGATGTAGTCTTAAATAGAAGTAATCAACAGTTAAGCGGTGTCATAAAATATAATGACTAAAATTTCAATATTCTGTCTGACATTACGGTATCAATTTTATATCATTATACTGAATTGTTTTTAGTTCAACTGCAGGCCCTAGCAGTCTGCAAGCAGGTACTGCAGGCCAGCACGGGCTTATACGGACAACCTGCTCGTGTGGTTGTTCCTCAGTTCATGTCTACTGAACACACAAAAGGGTTCAATAAGTAGCTTAAATATGTAAAGAGCGAAAAATTAATTCCTTCCTTCATGTTTCCATACGTTTTACACACCAAACTTCACATTTAAGTACAATTTGCATAATTAGCATCCCTGCACTTCATGTTTGACTCATGAGAAAAAGACATTGGGACAGTTTATTAACCTTCAGACTAATTCTGTTACAGTGCTCAAAGTCCCACACTTTAAAGACAGCAGTCTACTGGTGCCAAGCCTAAATGAAAAACAGCATGAGAAAATGGAAGTACTGCAGGGTAGAGATTGGAAGCAGTGAATAGATGAAAGGCAAGAAGTTGAACAAACTATCCAAAGATCTTATCAAGGTACGTTGCTCAACATCCGTAATGTTTGTTCACATGCTTAGAACGGTGTTACTCACTAAAATTTGGACAACAGCCACTATAGCCAGAGCATGTCCTGTCTATTCAACTAATACATAGTTTGCAATCATTATTTAAAGAACACAAAGGCAAGTCTTTTGTTAACAATTACAAAAAAACAACAAAAAAACAGCCCTGGAACCTTGAAATTTACATTCACAGCATACTACTGTTGCTGAGCAGAGCAGGACAACAAAGTCCACCACTATATGTTCTTATCAGTCCAACCACAACTGGTCCTGCAGTATGAATAGAGTAGCACTAGGACAACTGCTGAGACCTTGTGAAAATTATATAAAAAAAAAGGCTTCAGCAATTCCTTCAACCTTTCAGACCCCCTGACAGCCTGCTAAACAAAATGAATTGCCTCCTGGCCAACATGTAGCTCAGTCAGAGCCTAGACGTCTGGCAGCATTAACTGCTGAAGTAAACTGCCTGCCTTTGCTACAATGGTATTCAACAGTTGAAACTCCCCTCCAGAAGCTAATTTCTATTCTCATACCCCCTATTTCTCTAGTCACTTAAAAGAACTGCTCACCTTATCCACCGCCTTAACCTTGATTGTTTTAAGATTGACTGTAAACGACTTCGACTGGCAACAAAAAGAGGGTTTTATGTGTGTCAAAATATAACAGGAATAAACACTATAACACCAGTATGTGGTCTCACTGACTCTTACCATAAAAACTTAATCTTTATCTGTAATAAGCTTAAATATGTGTAAATAACATGCAATAATGCAATTCAGACATGTAGCAGTCATCACAAAACTCAGGACAAACAACAAACTACTTGAATTGTATAATAACCACAAGAAGTGCTACATTTGTAAAAGGTCAAAATGTTGATAAAGCAAGACAATTGCCATGACATTTAGGTGTGTTTCAGGTGTCTGTTAAGTGTACTAAACCGCAACTTTGTCTTTTACATGATGCTGACAATGATTCAGAATGTCATGTCACCTTACCCTCATCAGGATGGGTATTTACATAATAGATTAAATTCATTAGCCTTATCCAACAGAGCAGTGTGTTTTTCACATTTATTAATCTTGCATAAATTAGAGTATTAATTTCACACAAGATGCACACTGCTTAGTAGACTGTGTGTGTTGTGGTGTGTCTGTGTGTGTGCATGTGTGTGTGTGTGTGTGTGTGTGTGTGTGTGTGTGTGTGTGTGTGTGTGCAAATACTGCAGAAGGAAGGAAAAGTTATGAAACACAACGGCAGAAAGCCAAAGTAGCACATATATATGTGTACACAGTATGCTGCTGCTATACTGCTATGGTGTGCTATAGCTGCCAAACGGTCCAGAGCATCAGCAGCAGAAGCAACAGGTAAAGCAATCTTTTAGCACCCCTGACTACGTGTGTAGGTTGCGACTGCAGAAAATTACATAACAGCAGCGGAATTCTCTGAAAAGGGCATTTCGGCTCACCCTCTCTTTTCCTCACTGTAACAAATCTTTACCACGTTTTCTCCCCAACAGCAGCATTTTTGATATGTGACCACTGATTATTACAGCACACACATGAGATTATTATACTTTTCAACCAAATCAACATGTATTCCATCTTTAAGTTTGTCCTTTACTGGCACAGGGTATGAGAAAGAGAAGAATTTAATCTTAAAAGTGAAGTAAGAAAAGGTCAGAACATAATATAAAAAGTCACTATTTCAGCCTGGGTAGTCAGATCAATGAAAGGAAATGACCAGTTTAACATTTGCCTCAATCACACTCATCTCTTGTGCAATACCCTAAGAACCAGCACTTTCTTAATTTTAACAGTAGAGGGCAGCCAAGGACAATTTCACAGCTGAGTTGCCTTGAGCAGCAGACGCCATCCAACAGCTCCCAAAGGTCAAAGGGCAGATCCTTACCAGCATTGACGATGGCATCCACCTCCAAGACAGTAATATCTCCCTTGTAGAGAGATACTTTATCATTCAGCCCTCCTCCGCCTGTCAGCTCCTTCCCTTCGTCTTTGTCATCGGCTGAAATAAAAAAAATCAACTTAATAAGTACACACTTAAATGATTGTTAAATGTACTTGAAAAGACAAATCTTCAGTTAAATGTGATAACTATGATTATTATATATCAATTATTCCAGTTTCCCAAACAGCAATACTTCAAAGAAATGTAAAGAAATTCAAAGAAAAAGTAGACAATACTGTACTTACTGTACTATCAAGACTAGATAATTTTTACATGGACATTGTGAATTTGAATTCTAAATTTGCAAACTCAGCATTTGTATATCTTCCTTCTTTCCTATAGTAAAAAAAAAAAAAAAGGTGTGATATAATGTGTGGTAGGGCTGCCGATTTCTGTTTCACTATGACACTCGTGTTATGTGTTTAGAAACACCAACAGTTTGGAAACATTTTGGTTTCAAGTTTTCTTTAAGTTTAATGATGTTTAAAAAGTGAATGAGTAATTATGTTAAATAATAATCATCTGAATATTGACCAAAATAATCATGTTTATGTTTTTACTATAATCAAGCAGCCCTAGTAACATTTCTTATGAAGTATGACCTCTGGATTACACGCCAGACAAATGTTGCCACGGTCATTTGTAGAGTATACTTCCTGTAAGAACTTCCTCTTTTGAGCTAAGAAATAATAAGCAAGGAGCTGTGAATCAGCAGTTCTGTTTATTTTGGTTCTTGAGGAAAATACATCAACTAAGGGCCCCCGAAGTGCTATAAAAAGTTATTATACCTTGTTTAATTTAATGAAGAGAGAAACACTACAGCATATATGCGCACATCACCAAGCACTCCTGAACAAGTTTTCATTTACCTCACTTCACTGAACATCAGTTGTAGTCTGTTATCTCTGCGTTAGTTTGAGTACTCATATTGCATGTTAAGCCAACTATACTAACAACCTTACATCTGTCTTTCAATTATTGCTCTTATTAGTAACTTTAATCTTTTTTATATCATACCAAAACAGTTGTATTCTTATAGGAACATTGTGCAGAATTTTAAGTCAAAAACATACTGCTACTTGATAATATGCAATCCAGTATTTAGAACCTAAATGAGGTTAGATTATTGTTTTCAAGAACAGACCTGTATCAACAATAAACGCTCTGTGCTGATACATGTATGGTTGTGGTTAAGGTCTTCTTTTCTTGCAATGGGTGTTACTTCCTGAAAAATCCTGTTCAAACGTGCTTACTGTCAAAAACTTACTGTCAAAGTTCACCATCACAATTTCGGGTTTGAAATATAAAGAAAAAAAAATAAAATACAGTATAACCTAGCTGCAACTTTAGGAGAACATTACCAATATCATGCAAGCACCAGCATACTGACAAATTCATGTAAAGCACATATGTGCTGAATAATGGTGCTTTCTCTATGTTTTCAAACGAATAAAAGTGTGGCTAAAATGCACAAGAACAGGCAAAACACTAAATTACAATAATGTTTCGGCTGGGCTGCGTAAACACTGCCATAATGTGTCAGTTTATCAGCCATACCCAACTTAAAAAGACATTCATCTCAAACAATAATCTGTCCCTTACATTTGATATTTTCCTCTCTCCAGGTCGGAATCTTGTCCAGGCATATAAAGTCTTGTCGACGATACTCCTTGCGTCTCTCCTCCCGATCTAGACGGAGCAGTCTATCTGTGGAAGAAAGTAGCCATGAATTCTATTGAAGAATAAAAAGGGATAAAAAAAAGAGGGACATAAACTGACACAGACAGGTGATAACAGGTGTAACATTAATTCCCAGTGAAAGCAACAACCTTTTCACATTAACCTCCATTAATTGAATGATCTGTTTCGAAATCTCATCCCAAACTGTTTCTCTACCTTTACTTTAGCTGACCACAACCCATAGTGCTCAGCAGCAGTCGCAAGTCTTTCTTCGATTGACACACAGGACATTCTCTGTGTCCATTGATCACGGTTTCTTCATCCACTGCTCCTGTCTCCTGCGGGTCCTTCAGGGGTGCATTTTGGGCCCAGTGCTTTTCTGCCTATACATGCTTCCCCTTGGTGACATCATTAAAAGTATAATATCTCTTTTCATTTATATTGCAGATGACTCACAATGTACCCCCACTAAAATCCACTGACTCTGTACAGTCTCTCCTGGACTGTCTTGAAGATATTAAAACTGGATGTCAAATAACTATCTCCAGTTAAACAGTGATAAAACAGAAGTCATTATCTTTGGTCTCCCAAATCCATAAGCACGGTCGCCGCAAACTAGCTCACCTCACCCCGTATGTTAAAATCTCATCCAGAAATTTTGGGGTCATACTTGACTCAGGGCTCTGTCTTGACAAACAGATAAGCTCTGTTGTTAAAAACAGTTTTTATCAGTTAACAATTGTCTCCCACCTCAAATCATTTTTATCTTATAATGACCTGGAAAAATTATCATGCCTCATTACATCACGCCTGGACTACTGCAATTCCCTCTACCTGCCTCCCCCTGTCTTCACTAACGCGTCTGCAGTTGGTTCAAAATGCAGCACAAGACTGTTGACTGGTACAAAGAACGTGAACATATCACCCCTGTCTTGCTTCCTTGCATGGCGGCCCATTCATTTTAGAATCAGTTTAAAGTTTTACTCATTGTTTTTAAGGCTTTAAATGGGCAGCCCCTGCTTACATTGACTGACCTTCTCCAACCCCATTCAGCACCAGGTCCCTTAGGTCCTCTAGCAAAGGACTTCTACATGTGCCACAGTCACGACTTAAACAAAATAGGCCTTTGCTGTGGCTGCTCCCCGACTTGGAACCAGTTACCTCAGATATTAGACACGCACCTCCATTCTCACCTTTAAATCTAGATTAAAAACTCCACCTCTATTCATTAGCTGTTCCTAGTCCCTAATCTCCTTATTTCTTGTGTCCTTGTGTGTCTGTGTTGTAGGTTCTGTCCTGTTTGTGTTTAACATCATGTATTTTTTCACATTTGTTTATTTTCCAAATTTGTTTTATTTATTATTATTGAATGCTGACTTTTTATTATTTTTCTTATTCTGTACAGCACTTTGGTCAGTGATAGCTGTGTTTAAATGTGCTTTATAAATAAACTTTACTTACTTACTTACTATAAGAGTATATGTTATTATTGCATTTTTGGTATTAAGTGTTCATGTGGGCTGCGAGCACTTGTAGGTGCATGACAAAATAAACAAGATTAAATACAGTGTTGGCAGTAACACATTACTAGTAATAATATTATTTGCCCGAGTAACTAGTAGTGTAACTAATTACTGATAAATTCCAATAATAATATTACAGTTACCTCCCCCTCAAAAAAACCTAGTTACAACACCCCCCTACAGATCCATTTATTAATTCTGGAGGAAGCTAGTCTGGAAGATGCAAACACTTACATTTAGCAGCTGGAAAATTCCATTCCTTTGATTTTAACAAGCAAAACGGGATGTTAATCATTGACAGCTACAAGAGACAAAAAACGAATGAAGCTTGTAGGTGGTGGATCAAATGTTTGACTCCGTCTTGCAGACAGGTCCTTAGGAAAATACCTGTCACAGGCGACCCCCAGGTAAAGAATAATTTACTATGTCTCTAAATGAACGAAGTTGTTTAAAAGATTGCGTCAGTTTTCATCTAGCCTGTAACTTGAGGATTCATAGACTGCAGAGAAAAGACTGCTAGTTGTGCTATTAATAATATTACTTTTGAAAAGAGTAATGACTAATGAGTAATAAATTATTTTTTTTTGAGTAACAAGCCCAATAATGAACAACAACTACTACTATATATTCCTCAGATTGCAGGCAGCCATCCATTCAGTCATTGTTCTTATTTCACCACACAATAAAAAACTATTATATATATATATATAGACTTTGGTGAGTAAATTCATTACGTCTGACAACACGTTCCCACTCCCAACTCGTCAAATACTGCTGCTTGGTCAGTGGTCCACTGCTTCTGAATATGACGCTGTAGGTATCTTCTAGCATCATTTTTTCATCTATGTGGGGCACCGAAGTCAAGTTTGCAACAATAAATGTCCAACTTCCGCAGACTAAATATGCAAAATTTAAAAAAAAGCATGCATGGTTAAAGTTGTGAAACACTCTGTGTTTGGTTAGTTTTGGGAAAAGATTGTAAATTACGTTACCTGTAACGATACATGTAACGATGTAACATAACACTTAACTAACGATTTGATGCAATTCTTAATCGGTTCACAATATGATTTTTTTTACAATTTTTTAACAAAATGAGATTGAAGACAAATTAGGACTGAAAAAATCTGCTAAATATTATAGTTTTATTACTTTTTTGCATCAAATTAAATAATCCTTTTTATTTCTGAGGTAGGGTAAACTATGCAAAATAATGTATATTTCTTTTTTGTAAAATTGAAACTGAAAACATAATACTGTTAACTACAGAAAAAGCCTCATATCTCTCATAATGTCTTTCTGTTATCTTCTTACCTTTTTCATTTTCTGACTTAAAGAAGCCAAAAAGCTGCCACACCTCCGATTTTAAGTACCGTTGTGCATCTTCACATCCTGATACAGCTACGGATGCAAGTGACGTAGGACATTAAACAAGCAAGACTAAAAGTAGATAGCACCCTCCTAATGCGATTTAACTGTCTTGGATTTATATTTACATTTACCTACCTGACGAAACTAAGTACATGAATAAGATGTAATTTATGTAATGTAAGTGCATATGTTACTTTATGTTTACTTTTAGCTTCACACAGGGCACCAACAGGGTAAAAATCCTGTGTTTGTTTGAGACATCCATCTACTCCACCTCCTCTATATGCAGAATTTCTCACTCTTTAAACTACGTCACCTGACTTTGAAAGCAGGCATGTCGACAAATAATGTGAGACAGATACCTACAGCATCATACTTTGAAGCAGAGGGCCACTGCCCAAGCAACGGTAATTGACGACTTGGGAGTGAGACCAGGATGCGTCTGACATTTTGTCAGGAGTGTGTAGTGATTAAGAAAATGCACAAAATGACTATTTTTTGTCAACCTTACGCAGTAATCAACCTAATTAGCACAACTCTGACTAGTGCACACAGTGTTTTGAGTTAATAGATATAATGCAGCTATTCTAATATTACATCCAGTTCCCTTCCTTCAGAAAGTAAGCCCAGACCTTGGCTTCAGAGAATACACTCCTGCTGAGACCTTCTGACATCTCATCTACCTCTCAATAAATCCATACACCTCTTCAGTTCCCTGATGGTATATACAGCAGTCTTTTAGAAGACTCTGCACAATTAGACATAATTAAGACTGAGGCACTAATCGAAGATGAAGCTGGCAAAAGAAAGACAAGATGAGAGTTCCTGTTTACAATTCTCCAACAAATTCTCACTCAATTTGACAGGAAACAGCAGGTAACTGGAACACAGACACTTGGATGATTATTAACTGGAACAGAAGGCTGAATACCACCTGAAGGTTTTGCCACTCACCATGACCACCCTTCAGTGATGCTGGAGACCTGTATATGGAGATGGGCGGAGAGGAGCGCTGCCTCGTCACACGCAGGCGATGCTGCTCGGGGTGAGCGTATGATGCCCCCACCTGGGGTCTGGTGGCGCTGGCGGAGTTCAGCGACCTGCCCGATGGGGATGCGGCGATGCATCCCAGAATCAGCCACCCCATCCAGGCAGTCTGACAGAGGACAATAAGACCAGGGGCTTGGCAGGAACCCCGTTTCATGAGACCCCTTAAAGGCGAAACACCCATGGGGCACATGGTGGAAGGCGAGAGGATTCGAACTGACGCACAATACAGGAGAATCTGCTACAGAAGAGTCTCATGATTGAGAAGACCCCATAATAATAAAGACCACCAGCCTGCCAGCCCCCGATGTTTTCAGACACTTTATACACATGCTGATCAGAGAGGTTAAGTTTAGTCAACCAAAGGAAAAAAAAACACATTCAAAACCCTTAAACATGCACACTTGCCCTATGGTCTGCAGGTAACTGTACTACAAAGAGTCAGGATGGAAGGAAACATCCTGCATCCTCCTCTGTACAGGACTCAGCTTGTGCAGCCATTTGCCAGCTCACTGGCGGCTCTTCATGTCCCACACTACACTCACTCCTCTGTCCCTCTGCCTATATCGCTCTGTCTCTCCTAAAAAAGACATCTACAGGCAATCTTGCAAAGACAGAAATCTCAAAACCACAAAGAGAAGGACGTTGTCCGAGCCTGTGGAAACTTGCAGAACAATTTGGTACCAGAGAAGTCACAAAACACAATGCTGTATATCCACTTTCTGCCCACTTCTGCGTGCTTCGCTTCTTTTTCTTTCAATTTTGCCTCCTGAAGATTTGAGAAGTATCCATTAAAATCACAGCGACAAGAAAAATCTGTTTCCAAGGTTTGCCCCTGGTCTCCGTTTCAGGGACAGACCTTCCTTTGATGTAAGCTAAATTTTTACCACACGCGCCTTCAACAGAAGACAGCAGCAATGATCTGGATCCCAGAGCAGCCAGAGAGAAAGAGAGAGAGAGCAAGAGAGGGAGGGAGAGAGGGGGTGATTATGAAGTACTGAGAGATAGCAAAGGTAAAAGAAAGGTGACGCACTGGTGGTGGAGATACGGAATGTGGTTAAAAATGACTGAAGAAAACTAGATGGA